GAATGAATAATCCGATCAACAAGTTCAGTATCCAGCAGAATCTCCATAGCCATTATACCGTGATCAGAAAATGGAAGTTAAGAGAAATGCAACAGAAACACTGAGATTACAGAAAACACATTATTATCATTCCCAGGAGAAGAAACAAGAAAGATATCTATGGATTAGCCAACTCTGGAGAAGAACTTCTGGACTACTGTACATGAACCGACTTGAACCTCTGTCTAGACCTCATAATCTGTTGAACTTTAATGAGAAAGTTAAGAATATAAGTAACTTTCTACATGATCCATTCCCCTCTTTCTCAAGTTAAAAAACCAAGAATCACTATATAGATAAACATCAAAGAAGCAATAAAATGAACCAATCAGCAGGGGAATCTAGGAGCTTCTCTTTCCGTTTTTAAATAACAGTTTTTTCTATATTATTTTTTAAAATAAAAGTGTCGTCTGGACCAGCTTCCCACTGTTCCACCAAATACCTGCTACCTCTCGCCCGCACACCAAACACAGAGCAGGTAACTCCACCCAACAAAGCTTAAAGGGGATCTAAAACTTTAAGTAACCACAGCACCCACTACTCAACTTAAGGGATAACGTTTGAACCCAGTAGCTTTCGGCTCAAACTTTATATATGTGTTAAAATTTCAGAAAAGTAAATCAAATGTAACAGTCATAGAATTCCGAACTCGAACGTTCAAATCCTGGATCCGACTCTGCTACTCATATACTCATATGTGATACTGGATGTGAATTTAGTATAACTATATATCTACTACAACTTTCTAATTCTATATATACACAGCGCAAGTAAAAAGGCAAAGATCTTTACTTTTCTTCATAAAATGAATATATATACCTTTGCAAAACCCTCAGCAGTACCAGTTTGAGTACCGAAAAATACGGTGACCTTAACTTTTCCAGGTTCCAGCTCAATCTCCTCCTCCGACTCCACATGTAAGGACTTGGGGAACACGATAGGCTTCACTTCTTTACTCCGATCACTTGATCTCTTCAAAAACAACACCACTAACCCAACGATGACTGCAAACGACGTCGTCAGTAGCACCAACACCGTATCGCTCCCCAACGACACTCCTAACGCCGATTCAATTGATCTCACTAACTCCGAACTCGAGTCCATAATAGTAGGGTTTTCGAGTGGAGGAGGACGGCGGAGGAGACGGAGGAGGAAGGAGGAGGTTCTGGTTGGTTGTGGTGGTGGGTTTTATGTTGTGTGAGATTTTGACCAGAAGTTTTCTTAATGCTCTGTTTGGGTGGATCTTAAATCGAAACAAGGAGAAAAAGAAAAAGAAAAAATAAAGGGGAAAAAGGAGAAGACTTTTTGATTAATAAATAAAGAGAGAAAAGAAAAGGAAAAATAGTACTTGCTGAATTTTTGTTGTGACTTGTCTGAAAAGAGAAGAAAAAACAAGCTGTACTTTTTGTGGGGTCGGGGGTTGGGGTAGTTGACAAATGAGAAGCTTCTAATCACTTCTTTGTGTTTTTTTTTTTTTTAAAGAAAAGTGATTATTATTGGATTTTTCACTAATAATATTGAAAAACAACTTTTTCAAATGATTTTAGTAATAAGTATTACATTTGTTTTTTGTTTTTTTGTCTATTTCAAAAAATATAAATTTTATAATATTTAAAATAATTTAACTTAGACTTTTCTTTTTATTTTTAACTAGATAATTAACAGCCGTATAAATATTTATATCTCTTTTCAAATTATAATTTTTAAAATAAATAGTACTACCTTTATTTTGTTAGGATCTGAAATTGCTTTTTATCATGTCATAACAATTTAACACGCATTATATTTATACTATATGTGCTGGTAATAATTGTTGAGTTTTTCACGTAATTGGCTTTTTTTGTCTTTTTGCAATATACTACAAACTTTTAGTATCAACTTGTTTCAACTTACACGTACCTATTATTATATTTCTAAATTTGCAATGATTTTAACCATATATATCCTTTTCGAATTCTTTTGATGAAGTTGACTCACAAACATGGGAGAGGACAGAAGTTTTTGTAGGATTATGCTCTGCATTATTTATGTGAAGATGGAGCACACATCTACATTAATTATAATTCTAATCTCTGTTTGATATAATATCAGAAATGCTTCATAATAGTAGCAATGATAACAAGAGTATTTTTCTATAATAATAATAAAAAAGATGACCTTGCACTCGATTAAGTTTTTAAATAGTATATACTGTTTAATATCGATCAATACATTATTATTTGTTTGTCTGACGTAAAAAGTAGGTAATAATCAAAAGTAATAAATTATAGTTTTCTATTCTAAGAGTGAACATCAACTCTAATTGCTCGTTACAAATATTATGATGCTTGCAATCTGCATTGTACAAAAATCAACTCCCTATCTTTTCTTTTTAGACTTATAAGCATATTTGTTCAAGCTTCTCCAAGTTAAAAAGTATTTAGTTTTTTTTTTTTTAAATGTCTTTTTAAAATTGAAGTATTTGGCCAAATTTTTAGAATAAAAAAATAATTTTGAGTAGAAGCAAAAACAGTTTTGAAGAAGCAGAAAAAAACAGTTTTTCCCCGAAAGTACTTTTTAAAAAATATTTTTGAGAAAAATACACTTAGAAGCACCTTTTAAAAGAGTGACCAAACATAAATTGTTGCTCAAAAGTAATTTTTAAACTAATTAATCAAACACAAACTGCTTCTTAGCAAAATTAATTTTGAGAAAAATATTTTTTTTAAAAATAATTTTCAAAATAATTTAATTTTAAAAATTTGGCCAAACAGACTATTAAATCGCTGCAATAAGAAGTTGAGAAGAAGTAGTTAAAGAAAAAGTATGGTGAAATCCACATTTCAATTTCTAAAAAGTAAAGGAAAGGCATTCATAGAAGCGTGAGTAATTAGTTATTGGAAATGGCATATGTGGTACCTTTCTGCTACTCCAATTCCAAGGCAAAGAGAATGCCTCAACTTCCTTTTAGACGTGTCAAAACTACATTCACGGATTCGCGTAATATTCACTTCGTCACGTTGTTTGACTAGACACAAAATTTAAGTAAGAATTATTTTTTGAAATTTATTGTCTAAATCAAGTTATAAACATTTATATAATTTTTAATCATCTCCCCAAGAGTAAAATAAAAAATTTAAAATTAAATTATTTTCCAAATAATTTTTATTGGGATAGACACAAAAATTAAGATAAATGGAGTGTTAATTACTAAGTCTTAGTCTTGATACGTGTGAGCTAAACATTTCATTAATTTGATTGTTGTGAATAAAATCTACAATATTCAAGTTTTAAACTTGTACTCAATTAAACTCGGCCCATAAGTTTATTACGTAGAAATTTCTCAGAATTAAAAAAATGTACATTTACTTACTCTTCCTTAAGTTTATTTTATTTTTTTTCAAAAAAAATGTTTATATATTTTTTCATGAGTAGGAGGGAACTTGTGAATATATAATGGAAGAAGAAAAACCAGAGTGCGTTTATGTATAGAAATGTTGCACCTTAATCTATATATATATATATATATATATATTAAAGGAATAAAGTTACCATATATAGTTGGCATTGTAGTTAAGTCAAGTGGCAGGTTAATCTATATCTATCTATCTATCTATA